ACAAAACTGTTTTAAATACCACTTTGTTTACTGATGAGGAAGCCATCACATCAATTGAGCAAAGGTTCTTTTGAACCTACATATCAAGAGGTAATTGACTCCATCAAGCAAATCTCATCTGGAAAATCACCTACTCCTAAGGATCCTATTCCACCCGAAGTGTATAAGCATGGTGGCCAAAAGTTGGCAAAAAAGTTACATCTTTTTGTGGAGATATGAATTCAGGCTGTATCCCACAGGATTATAAAGACACCTCTATCAAACACCTCTACAAAAACAAGGGTTCCAGGTGTGTCTGTGATAATCATTGGGGGATACCACTACTTTCAATTGCAGGCAAAATCCTAGCGAGACTAATTCTAAACAGAATCATTATACACCTTGTTGATAACATCTATCCTGAATTTCAGTGTGGTTTTCAGTCAGGTCGTGGCACCATTGACATGATATTTTCTCTTTGTGAAGTTGCAGAGAAGGTTCGCAAGAAAAACCTGGAATTGTACATGGTGTTTGTGGACTTGATGAAGGCCTTTGACACTGTCAATCGAGAGGCTCTTTGGCAAGTCTTAAGGAAACTTGACATCCCAGAAAACATGCTAAAGGTGATCATCTCCTTTCATGAAGGAATGAAAGCTAATATCATGTCTGATGGTATGATGTCAGAATCCTTTGATGTCACAAATGGCACCAAGCAAGGTTGTGTCATGGCCCCTGCCCTTTTTGCTCTTTTCTTCTTGGTGATGCTAAAATATGCATTTGCAGACACAGAAAGCAGCGTCAAGTTTCAGTTTCGAACAACTGGGGGGTCTCATCAATCATCAGCGCTTCAAAGCCAAGACCCACCTTCGTACGCAAATTAATCATGATTTGTTGTTTGCTGATGCTGCTGCTCTTGTAGTGACATCCTTTGAGGAAGCCCAACATTTAATAAGTCATTTCTCTGCTGCATGTAAAGCGTTTGATCTTACACTTAGCATAAAGAAAACTGAAGTTGTGCACCAACCTTGTCCTACTCCGAAGCAATTGTGTGGTGAGAAATAAAAACCACCAGTCTACAAATTTCCAGAGAGACCATGGAAAGTAGAAGACAAACCCCTGAACTATGTAAAGTCTTTCACTTATCTTGGTAGCAAAGTCAATTACAGTGGAACTTTAGATGATGAAATCATTCATCGGATTGCTAAGGCTACCAGTGCTTTCAGCAAACTCTGCCATCACTAGTGGAATGAGCGGGGAATTCGACTAGATATAAAAATTCCAGTTTACAGAGCTGTTATACTTGCCATCCTTTTGTACAGCCTAGAGTCATGGACTCCATACGGGTACCATATATGCCAGCTAGATGTTTTCCATAAAAGCTGTCTGTGGTATTTAACATTCACCCCACGAGGAATGTATGTGGCACAAGGCCGAGTTTAACGTGGGTTTATATGAGCCCGTAGGCTCGGCCAAAAATATACCCTTTGAACCCGCCTAGATGGGTTCAGGGCTTGTCTACCTCCCTGGACGAAGCTTTGCCGAAGGGCAAAGTTTTGTCCGGGTTCCTCTCTGCCAAAGCAGAGAGTTCAACAGAAGTCAGACACAGAAGACGTACACGTAGTCAACTCGTCTGCTAAAAGCTGTCTGCATGTCATCTGTGAAGTTAACCTTCAAGATAGGACATCTAACGTAGACCTGTTTAACAGGTGTAATATTGGAGGAATCGAGACTTTTCTCATACAGCCTCAGTTACAGTGGACTAGCCATGTCTTGAGAATGTCTGATGACAGGATACCCAAGATCCTAATGGACAGTCAGTTAGATCAGGGCTAAAATACAAAGACAAGCTAAAAAGCAACTTGTCAGCTGTCAATATACCACATAACACCCTTGAGTGCTTAGCCTTGGAGTGGGTAGAATGGAGATCAATGTGTTTTAGTGGACTCAGCAGTTTTCAATCTGCTTGTCTGAATCATCTTCAAGAAGTGAGAGCAAGATCTAAAAAGTCAGCCAATCTAACAGTGATCTCATCTCACAATCCTTACTCTTGCTCCATATGTGGCTTCCTTTGTAAATCACTAGCGGGTCTTAAGTGCCACTTAAGATTATTGCACAAAATTTCATAACTGAATCAATTAAGTTGTCAGATCCTCATACATCGAAACCGACGGGAGAGTCAGTTATCATTTTATATATATATATATATATATATATATATATATATATATATATATATATATATATATACACTTTTTATTACTATAAACATTATATTTTGTGAATACATGTGTTTGAGTAGACAGCCACATTTTTAGTAAAAATAAAGAAAATATGCCTTCCATCAGAGTTTGAACCTACATTCTCCTTGTGGAAGTAACCACTGTCACAACCAGGGGTATTTAAACTGCTCAGTAGGCATTTACACACATACACACACACTTTTTTCTCTCTACTTCACACATTTGGTTGCTATAGCAAGTTAGAACACTTCAAAATTTGGCAAAAGCAAATCAATCATTTTGTTTCCCATTGATTAATATAAACATTACATATTGATTTGACCCAGACAATATGAGAAACACTTATCCAATAAGTAATAATATCTGATCAGCTGTTGCCTTTGCTTTTCTTTCTTCTCTTTTTATATTCATTCAAATTTTCTTTCACCCTCACAGCTGTCTTTTTTTTAAAAAACACAGTCTCTTTCTCCTATTATGTATCATATAAGTCTTATTGATATATATATATATATATATATATATATATAATAAGCAAATAAATGACATGATGAAAAACTGAGTTGTGCTGCATTTTGTTTTAAGAAGTAACTTTTTTAGACAATGATTTTATGGATAGAGTCAGTCTTATAAAAAAAACAAAGGAGTAAAATAAAGAGTCAAAAGTACAATAAATGCTGGTAACGATTTGCATTGTAATGAGATGCTCAACATTTGAATTTATATTTAGACATCTGATGTGATCTTGACGTTAAAAAGTCTCATTCTGATTTTTATCACTTATTTTTTTTATTGTCTCCCACATTATATTTGAAGTCATTTTGTGAGGAAAGGAAATATGTTATACAATCACGGATGTGAATTTACTGCAAAAAAGATGGGAATGTATTGAAAGTGAGCTAATTTTCTTCTACAGTCAATTTACATCCAATAATCATAAAACAATATATATGGTGTGAAATGATCTGGTGTTGAGGTATTAGTCCTCACTGGGCACCTCAATCTTAACATAGTAACAGCTTTGTTTTCCAACTCACTCAATCATTTAGATCTTCTATACATACCACTTCTTTTATCTCCCTGTCCAGGCAAATAAAATCATTCTGAAATATGTTGAAAAATTCCCTCGTGCATTCATCACTTTTTCTCTATAAATATTTTCCATTTTGTTTTGTACACTGATATTTTTGGTCTTTTTAAATTAATTTTGTCTCCAACAATTTGCAGCAGATATATATAAACTCTGAATGTGTAAACATATCAGAAAAAGTCTTAAGACAGGAAACCATAATCATTTTTATGGTGGCTGATTTGGTGCAAAAGAGTAACAAGTTTATTTTTTAAAGTCATTCAGCAAGTAACTGCATTATGTGTATTTTGTAATCAAAATGTTAAAAGAAAAAAACAGTGATTATTATGGTTGTCTGTATGTACATCTATTTATCAAAGCTCAATAGGGGCACAATTGTTATAGTTTTGTATCAGACTTGACTGAGTTTAGTGAATATGTCTCCTTCAGCCATATTGTCTTTTTTAATTTGACCAAAATTTTATCAATAAGTTTTATTCATATTTGTATTTAATTCATGCTACATAAAAAGTCATAGTAAGTGTACAATATGAGAGGTGTGTGCTAAAAAGTCCATGACCTGACTAAGAAGGGATTTAAAAAAAAAATCTGGTCAGATTTCAGTCTGACTCACTTCTCAAAATCTGACCAGATGTCAGATTTTGTAAAGTGAATCAGACTGAAAACATTTCAGCACCCCATTGTAAGTGGGTGAAATGTATTTTTTAAAATTTTGTTGAGTTGCGACTGCTTAATCTAAGTTTGTAATATTTGTAACTTATCATGGATGGTTTATTTTATTCACAGAAAAATGTGTGCGTTTTTCAGCACATCTTTGAGGGTATATCTCTACACAAGAATATAGCGTTGACAGGTTATTTTGAAAAAGATCAATATAAAACATTTGATTTTCTTGTTTGGTAATCAAATATTGATAACAAATTTGGCTTTCAGAATCAGTTTCATCTTTGGTGTGTGTTATATAAGCTTCCCAAAATATGCTTGGAAGTAATCAAATATTTATATCTTCAAAGTATTATGAATAATGGAAGTAACAATTTCTACACACACGTAAAAATTCAGATATAAAATGTATCTGTAAAGACAATAAATGACAAGAGAAAGACAATCTATGTCAATGCATTTCATTCTGAGGAACTTTGTGTTGATAAAATTTTTCAAGGAAGAAAGCACATTGGCATAAAAGGTCTTATCATTTCTAAAGAATTTATGGATTTATTTTTTAATATTTCTATTGCTTAATTCCATTTTTTCAAATCTACTTCAAACAGACATTATCATATTCCCCCAACTCCTTATTCCAGTATTATCATATGTTTACGAAACTAGAGCATAAGTTATGTTATTTTTTTATTTTATTAGGTGCTAAACCAAAAGCTGAATGGTTGAACAAGGAGGTGGGAAATTAGATTCCAAATGGTATAATTTTGCAATTAATTTGTCATTAAAGTAAACAAATAATGGAAAAAAAATATTGAGAATTTCTGCTTATGATTATTGAGTTGAGAGAGAGAGAGACCGAAGTAGAAGAGGAGTGAAAGAGAGAAAAGAGAGAGGAAGCAATGTTCACTAGGGAGAAATTTCAAAATAGAATCTAACAGATAGATAGGTAGAAAAAGGTAACAACTTATATTCATTTATCAAGATAGAGGTTAAATCTTCGTCAAATGTTTTATTCTAAATATACCCAAAGTTTACACCTGTAAATAATGGAAGAAAGAAGGAGGACAAGTTTTCCTTACCTTTTCAAGAGCTTCAATATCTGCTATTTCCTGTACAGCTATCAAACCCAACCTGAAGAAATCAAAAATAGAAATGCTTTTATTCCTATTATAACATTTCAAAAACTGTAAATATTATAAATTAAAATTAAAATGAATGAAAATTGCCAGATCTAGACATGCAGTCACTTCCAAGACTATTGAGTCAGTCTTCAAGGCAAATGGCAGTTTCATTGAATTTTTTTTGAATTTTTCTAAAATGAACATGTGTACAAAATTGTAATAATATATATATATGGTATCTTCAGTGAAGATACTATGTCTTGTTGAAACATATTAGTTAAAAATTTAAAAAGTGAGTTCTTACAATTTTTCTTACTTTCACAACAAACAGAGGAGCCCAAATTTGCATCTCGCAAAGAAAAAAAACAACACTTAATTACAGTTGAATTAAACATTTTTGAAACCAAATTTTTACCTTGAATTGGCAAAAATCACAATGGTTGTTATCAGAAACCTGATATTGCAAACAGATAAAAATAAAAATCTATTAAAAATAAAAGTAATCATAACAGAAAATTTTATCAGAAATAGTTACTTTAATCTTTACTTGATTTAATTGCAGAAAAAATCCAAAAACATTCAAAAATTTATTTTTACAAAATAGGTGACTCGTCAGTACAAGTTAAAGTTCAGTTTGGGTGGGTGAAGTAAGTTTTTGGTGTTGATCATCAATAATTTTTTTGTTTTAAATAGAGCAATCATTACTTTTAAAAAGTTAATTCATGAAAACATTCTCTGATATGAAATATTAATTATAAAGAATGTAAGAAAAACTCAAATACATTTACTATTTTTTGGTCTAAAGCAATAAATATTATTGGTGAAAATGATTATTACATTATTTAAAGAAATAAAATGTTCAGTGTGAAAATTTAGGAAGCTAAAATAAAAATAAAAGCTTAAATGCAAATGAAGTATTGGAGCAATCAGAAAAAGAGTTTTACATGGAAGACAAGTGGGACAATATTTATGTGGTTTGCATGCAGACATCAGAAATCAATGCATTATCTACTATATTAGCTTAATCTAAAAAGAAATAAATCCTTACTTAAATAATCTATCCCTGAATCATATTTTGAAACTGTAGTCATCATTTTCAAATTATGTAAAATAAAGCACTTTATAATTATTATTAGCAAATTTTAAGATTTATTCTTTAAACTGCACATTGCATTTACTGAAATTCTATATGTTCCTGTCTACAATACTGATTTGTAAAATATATCAGTTAATTCCTCCATAAATTCTGTAGAGAATCATGATGAAAGTAAAGTAAAAGATAGACATCGATTTATTTTTCAACCAATGCATCTTAGCTATAATGTAACTAGTACAAAAATTGGGGACAACTGAAACCAAAATAAACTCTTTAAGCAAGAAAACTGAAATAATGTGTAAATGTAGATATATAAATAAATACTTACTTTGCTAAGAATTAATTAAAAATAAACAAAAAAATAAAATAAATATAATATAAACATTAAATAAATAAATGAAATAAATATAAAAACATTAATAAATATAAACCTAACCTCCCACAATAAATACCACCAAAACAAATAAGAAAACGAAATAATAGCCAAGATATATATATATATATATATATATATATATATATATATATATATATATATATATAATTTATTTATCATTTAAGCAATTTATCAATTATTTATGTAAAAATGAAATACAACTTTCCTAGCCTAGAATGCTCAAAAATTATAAACAGTGACATGTCTAGAGAACATACCAGAAATAATTGGCCACAAATGACTACAACTGAAAAATAAAAAGGAAAGGAAAAAAGCTAATGAGTGTAAAGTAGAAAAAGAAAAAAAAATGAAAGACAAATTATCACAACACTGCACATATATGCACATCTGTGCAGATGGTCACATGCATGTGAACACACACAAATGCACACACAAACAATATGGAAAAAACTTACACTAATGATAAGTGCATGAAAAAGAAAAATTGAGAAATATGAGCAGAAATATATTGCTGATACCCACTGAAGAGTGGCTGAACGGGTATATCTACGAAACTCTGGATTTGGGATGCTAAGGTAATTTTTGTGTGTGTGTGTGTGTGTGTGTGTGTTAGGGTGTATTGAATCCCATACTCCCTTTTAGGAAGAAGTTTGGAATTAAAAGTTTTCAGTTGTTCCTTATATATGTTAGCAATAGCTAATGTAGCTTGTTTGGTTAAGTTTTAATGAATCAAGAACTATCACAAATACAAAGAATTTATTTAAACTTAACATAAATTTTGTTACAATTACTTCTAAAACAATAAAATGCTTAAGACAAAACAAATTAATAAACTAAAACTTGGATGAGAAATTTACTCTATTAACTGTAATGATTGTCACAAGGAATACACAAGAGAATCCTTAAGGAATTTAAGTAAGATTATCTGAACATACAAAACAACACACTCAATGTATTAGTTACTCACTGTAATGAGTCTGACCATAATTTTGATTTAAAAAATTCTGCTTTAATTAAAAGAGAAAGCAAATTCCTAAGTGAAAGTGTATAGAAAGTACTTTGATTGCTAAATCATCCATGTTAAATTTGCCTCCAGATTCATTCTTACAATATTTCATCTTTCTTGGCAGATCTTTTATCACAATGTGGGATACTTTAAAATGATAAAAAACTAAAACAAAAATGTAGGGAAACTGAATGAAATCTGCTAGACTTTGTGTTCAGACACATCTGAGGAAGAAAAAAAAAGCTTTAAAATTCACCATTTCCCCTCATTATATAATTATAGCTGATGCTCGTGTTTATATTTTCCCCTCCCACACCTATAATTCCATCAACAAAAACATTACTTTAGTCTGAGGAAGTCCTTCTAGAGGATGAAATATACACAGAATTTTTACACTATCATTCAATTACTTAACACACACACACACGTGTGTTTGTGTGTGTGTGTATATATATATATATATATATATATATATATATAATAATAAATTTCTTCCTTTTCCTACAAAATCCACAGAAGAAAGATAGAAAAACCCACAAAAAATAATAATCACAACAACCCTGAAAAAAATAAAAAATAAAAATAAAATAAACATACAGTTCTGTCTATGAATTCCATAACAGCCACCATCAAAAATTATCATATAACTTAATGATCATGACCAGTTGTATGTAGTAAGAGAAAAGTGATACAGGCTCAAATCAGATGCACATTTAATGCAGGAGGTACAGGATATATATCCAGCATGTTAGTTCAATGTACTTTAACTTCCATAGGAACTAGGACCAGAAGACCCATCTGGGGGTCACTGTTAACACCACCATACTGGGCACCTTCATCATACTTCACCTTTGGTTATGATATTGCTAATTTGATCCTGGAGGACTGACAGTATGTGGTATGGTCTGATGAGTTTCAATTGATTTAGGTTGATGGCAGAGTTTGATAAAGTTGTGGCACAGTCTCCATGATGACATGAACCCCAGTTGTCAACCAGGCACTGTACAGGCTGGGAAAGATTCCATAATGGTGTGGTGTGTGATCATATAGCATTGGGTTGAGTCTAATTAAACATGTCATTAACCAGTGACCACTATGTTTCACTACTATGGGACCATTTGCATGTATTCATGGACTCCATGTAACCTAACAACAATGATGATTTATTTCAGCAGGATAATGCTCTGAGCCATCAGTTGCCCATGTTGCCAAAAATTGGTTTGTGGAGCATTCTGGTGACTTCCAACAAATGGTGTGGCCACCACATTCACACAACATAAGGGAGAATTTATAGGTATAATACCTATAAATTCTCAATGCACTTTGTAGTGTAATGCTTTAACTACTTGCTTTGATGCCTGTGTTAGTCTGAAAGCTGACTTCAAACGGCTTCTTCTCCTTCCTCAGACCTGGAGCTCTTTATTTATAGCTATAGACTTGTTCATATAGTCACCAGGGGTGTACTATTTACTCCTTAACACCCCACTTTTGAGATTAATACTTTTTATAAATATTTGTAATGTTTCCATCTTAGATCCATTTCCAGTTCTTCAGTATGCTTTCTTTTTCAGAAACTTGTCTTTGTTGGTTCCATGACTTGTTGTAGTGCTGGCACATTGAAAATATTATATAGCATTATTATTGGTTCATCCAATGTTTCAGGTCCTTCATTGATGGCTTTTTTTTGGCTGATTATGGTACCTTTTATGTCCAAATCTTTTCCATTTTACCATGTAAATCAACTTTGCAATTCTTGCTGATATTATGCTGTCCCATCCTTATATGCTCTAAAGAACACTTTATTGCTGACCTTGAAACTTTTGGTATCATTTTTGTTATCTGTTCATTGTTTTTGAACAATGATTTTACTTTTCTAGCAGACATTAATTCTGATGGCAACAAACTTTACATGATTAAGCATAATCATGTATTGGGGTTAGGTGAACTCTCAGAAAACTTTGAATTATTTCCCCATTTACTTTCTTAAGACTTGTTTTCTTCAACACTCTTTTGAATGTTCCCACAAACCATTCTACCTGTCTGTTTGACCTTTGGTGATATGGCAGGGTTGTAATATGCTCAATGGAGAACATCTTACAAAAGTCGGAATTCTTTACCTGTGAATTACATTCCATTATCAGAAACTATGGTATCTGGTATGCCATATGTCACAAACAGTTCATGCAAGAAATTCACTGTCATTGAAAATGTTGGATTTTTGCACTTATAAATTTCTGGTCATTTAGTGAAACTATCAACTAGCACAAGATAATGTGATCCATTCATAGGACCTGCAAAATCTATATGCAGTCTTGACCATGGCATGTGTGTCACCAGAGCACAACCTTTGCAAGCTTTCACTATTTTTTCAATATCATGGTCCATTCATTTCTGAAATAACAGGATGTCTACTATGAAAACCCTTCAAGATTCTCTTCTGTAACAATCCTTTGCCTGAACATTACTACAGCATTGCATAATGAGTAAACGTTTAAGTTTGGATTTCATTCT